CTGAGCTGAGTGATGATCTGTTTTGAAGCTGAGCAGCGTGAGAGCAGAGCAAATGTGTCAAGCTCTTTATGTGTGCCAGCTTTTTGAGCTTTGTCTTAGCATGTTGCGAACGAACCTCACGCTTCTGCTTTCTCTCGTCTCTTCTAATGTTGGAACCATCAGGAGACTGCAGGAACATTCAGATGCTGAGGCGCGCCTCCCTATCTGCTCCTTAAGAAGGAATGCAAACAATAAGCATCATAGTTTTAGCGTTGCCACTGACAGTGTCGACTATGTTATTAAGATTTCCCATTTTCTTTCTTTGGCTAGTGGATCAGATATTTCTATTAGCTCCAAATGACTGGACATCTTCTCTTTGTCTCTGTTCAGTTTACTTCTGATTACCGCTGAGGCTTTAAGTAAAAAGATCTACCTAGAATCCCTTCGGGGGAACCCTGTGGGGTTTTGTTTTAACAAGCTCACAGAAAGACACACGCATGACCTTTTAGTGGCCCTCTTTCCGTAGTTCACTGGAGTCATTCTGCTTTAAAGCTTCTTTAACTAAGCTACAGGCTGCAGCCATAATACCAGCCCCAAAGTACTGCTTTTGCCGTTCTCTCATGCTTTGACTCCCTTTCTTCTTCGTTTTCCTTCTTTATTTCTTTTATTTTTTACATCTCATTCTCTTTGTTGTTGTTGTTTTTCTGCCTCTGTCCGATTTATCTTTCGTTAGAGAGGATTTTTTTTTAATAAAACAAGTTGTCTCTTTAGAGCGTTTCCAGCTTCTAGAGGATTTGGTGAGACTTTTGACAGATATGGGGAAAAAGTACCGTCTAGTTTGGCATGTGTCACTTCATCCGCGTGTCTTTAAGGATGCATATACCCGTCTGGATTTGGACAGATTACTGCAGGCCATTTCTGCCAATTATCTGATGCTGAGAATTCAAATGGAGGGTGATGGCTGCAGACAGATGGGCGATTATGAGAAGGGAATGTATGACCTGCAGAAACATTGCAGTTTGATAAGTAAGGACGGCTGTCAGTCAAGCAAACTTACGCTTTTTAGCCACTTATGAGGGATTTTTGTGAACGGCACAAGCAAACAAAAAAGCTAATGTGTAGTTAAAGATGGTTATTAGCCAGAGACTGACGCACATTGCTCCAGCCCCCCTGCCAAAAGCTATATTGGTACATTTAGATGTTTCTGCTCATTGCTCAGTCCAATGGGTTCCAAATGTCTGAACTTCTTTTAGAGAAAATAGTGCATGTCTGCTTAGATGGAGCGAGGGAGGCTGAAGATGGAGAGATAGAAAGGGAATTTGTGGACGATTAGGGGAGTCAGGGAAAAGGGAGAGAGTGATGAATCTGAGAGGAGAGGAATGAGAGAGCCTCGGGGTATCAGACACCATCAAAACCTGTCACCCACAACCCTCACTGAAGGGCCTCAGAACAAACATGTGTACATAAATCTTACATACAACGGCTTTGTGTTGGGAAGCAAGTACCCATATGAGGTGGCATGGATGTCCCATGTCGGATTACATCAGCAGCTTCCTAAACAGGCAGTGAGACAGTAACGGTCCAAATACTTCTGGCATGAATGGTGTATTAAGTACATAGTATCAGCAGGAGAAGAAAGAAACAAGCATCCAGAATGTTAAAAAGTGTCCACACTCACTCTCTCTCTTTCACACACACACACACACACACACACACACACACACACACACACACACACACACACACACTGACTCACTGGTGTCTCAGCTCTGTTCTCTTGACACACCAAAGGAAATCAGCGATTCCACCTGTCTCTGCTGCACACTTACTTAAGGCAAGTATCCAGAGGACACCACACTGTGAAACACATTATTCACACCTCAAACACACTCCTGCAGGAGACACCAGAACACACAAACGTGTGCACACGCACACACACACACACACACAGACATCTGCACAACAAGCTCACACAGAGCGGGGTGATGGCTGTCTTACCAGTCTCACACCGATCGGGTCTCAAGCATCACCATCCTCATTTCTGTTCTCATGTCAGTCATCACAGTTCATCACAGCTGCTCAGAAGCATCCAGACATTATAAATCATGGAAAGATTCTGGGTTTGGTGGGACTGTTCATTAAGGTGGTGTTCAACTTGCTCCTCTACACACAGAAAACTGTATATACTGTACATCAGGCTGGCGTTTAAACAGGGTTTTAGCACGTGCTGTCCTTCTGTAAGGGTCATACAATTGCATCATGTATTTATTAGGAGAAACAAACAATTCATAATGAAACTTTCTATATTCAGTTGATTTTGCCCTGACACTGAGGATGACCCTGTCTGGATTTTACTGAGATGCTGATAAACAAATCACAAACACATAAGTTATTAAAAATGTATGTATGTGTGGATCACAGTGTAGGGAGACAGTATATCACACAGATTTCTCATCCTTCCCACAAACTGATGTCTCAACATAGCTCTGTTGAACAACAGCCATTGACCTCTGATTGGTATTTCTTAAACACCTTTGCTAGCAGGGGTTACACACTGCTCTGTTGTGACTGTAAATAAGTGGGCTGACACACTTGGCTCTCCGTTCTGCTTCCAGCACATTTTCTGTACGTTTTAGATCATGAACACAGCTAATTTGTTTACTTTAGTGATTAATCAGTCCTGTAGACACTAATGAATGCTGGGGAGACGTTTCAGCTGTTAGATTAAGGTGTTAAAATGACAAACGCACAGCAAGGAGACAGGTTTTGCTTTTGGTTCTACAAACAGACACTAGGGGGTGCTAAAAGCAGGCCAAAACTGCCAAGTTCCCCAAAAATTAATAAAATTTTTAAAACATCAACTGTAATTCGTTAATCCACCTCATTACCAGTGTATACATGTCTAAACCAAGTGAACTATAATATCCACATATCTTATAGTACCACTTCACATAATTGTCAGTACTATATATGTATTATAAAGCCGTAATGGTCCACCTCTACTGAGTACTGCACTTCCTGTTGTTGCTCTCTTTTACTATTTGATTCTTTTTTTATATGAATACTATTATTTCATATTATTTTACTGCTAACCCTAACCCACTCACATCTTCATAGCTTATCTCCATGAGACACCTCACAGCTCCTAAAGTTATTCTTTCCTCCAGTCCAGCAATGAGCTGGTGTTGTATTACGACACAACTGACATCTGATACCAATAAATGAGAAATGGGTTGATTAGGACGGGATATTTACTGTTAGACCAGGACCACACATCAGTTTGGCTTTCCATATCCAGCACCAGTGTGAGCTTACATTAATGAAGTCAGAGTGTGACTCATCGGTGTTGGGTGTTACACTACGCTATAGATGTGTGTGGAACATCTGACATTCATCAACAGGCCGGTCACACTGACAGGCTGTCATCGCCGTGTCTCACTATCATGCCTCAATGCCAGATTACCCTTATATCTGTGGACCATTATGGAGCTGTTACTACCTTGCTTGGTGGCTCTGAGCTTTAATGACGGGTTGACTTCACCCCCAGTGTCTTTTCATAAATTGCACTGAGATGTAAGACGGAGTCTCAGTCTGAGCTTCAAGTGAGGCTTTAGTTTCAGACGGCTGTTACGCCTGTTAGGTTATTGTCGTTAAATTAAATTAAACGTATTTCTCTAGCAACACGGACCCTTCGCAAACGCCAAAAATCTGGAAACGTTACCTGCTAAATCTTTCCAAAACCCAGTGTCACATGAAGGTAATTTAATTTATAAGTGATGCAGCTTAAAGAAATGAAAACAACTGCAGCTCAATCTTTGATCTTGGGCAGTAGTGACGTCTCATTGAGATATGGAAATTTAGCAGATCTAATAAGTCATAAAAGCAAGACATTTCACATTTTCCAGCTGAAATATTTATCTAGAAAGGTAGAAAAAAACTGAAATGTTAAAAGTTCTTAAATGTGCACAGAGGGAGCTTTGTGCTGTTGTTTTTGTGCAATTTCCATCAAGTTGTTACTCGCCGTCCAACTATGTGTTCAAACAAAGCATGAAAATACACAACAGATGTGCAAAGTGCATGCTAAGGTCAGGGAAAACAAAAGTTGTCCGAGTCGAGCAGTTCTGTAACAAAGTTCTCCGTCAACTTTCAAGTCGTGCATCTTTTAGCTTTAACTAATTAAAAGATAAACATTTGAAGACTTGAACTTAAAACCTATTACTTTTATAAGCCAAAACAGACCTTATAATAACCAATCAGCTCTCATGAATCACAGCCAAATAGATGCTAATAACTAGCTATTAGGAAGCCCAGGAGGATGATGGGAAGGCTTTAGACACACCAACAATACAGCCATGTAAATTGTGGTCAGCGAGGTCGCTGCTTATCAGAGAAAGCACAAAGGCAGTAAATGCATGTGTGGAAAGACACACACACACACACACACACACACACACATGAACACATGCACAGCCTGGCTCTTCTCCCAACACATACGGTCTAATTATTGAGCGAGGATGAGGCCTGGGCCTCGCGCTCCCTCTGACCTTGTTCCAGGACAGATTGATGAGGCACCGTATTGCCCTGCAGATCAGATGGCTCCTTTCTCTAGCCTTCATTACCAGGTCTTAGGCATCTCCAAGTACGTCGCTCAGCCAGTGCTGCACGCAATCATACTGCGAAGCTATTTTTACCTATTTCTGGATAAAACACTCATTCAGCTTTTGAGTGCTGGAACAGTTTCTTGGGCTAAAAATAACAGGGCGTTGTAAAGAGGGCTGGAAATAATGAGTTGTGTCTGAATTGCTGTGTTTGCTGTTCTCTTCATTGTGCAATTAAAGGGGAAGCAGGGCATCATTTGATCTGGCGTGTTTGCTATCAGAGACCACAGGAATTGACTTTTGTGTACCTGGTTGGTGTGGATGGGGTTGGCTGGGTTTCATAAAGGCAGCATGATGCTTATCTTTGTTTCTTTCTGCTTTCAATGAGTCAAATAACCCTTCTCTTCTCTCTGGATCCCACAGCTCCTCCTCAGTTTGTGAAGCGGCCGTCCAACATTTATGCTCATGAGACCATGGACATCATCTTTGAGTGTGAAGTTTCAGGCTCACCAGCTCCCACCGTCAAATGGGTGAAGAACGGAGATGCCGTCATCCCCAGCGACTATTTCAAAATCATTGTGAGTTATTTTGATGATACCTGCTACAACAAATATCACTTTATAAACAAATGTTTACGTTTGATTCGCTCCTGTCTTCTGCAGAAGGAACACAACCTGCAGGTTCTGGGTCTGGTGAAGTCAGACGAGGGATTCTATCAGTGTCTGGCAGAAAACGATGCAGGCAACATCCAGTCGAGCGCCCAGCTCATCATCTTAGATTATGGTACGCCACTCACTAAGACCAAATGTGTGCAAATCACATTTGTTAACCAGGAGGAAGAAAAATCAATTTTTACTTCAGAACATGACAAACCTGCAAAATTGATAAGATGCTTTAATGGTGAAACGATCAATATCGCAATCTGTGTCTGATGGGTTATCGCACGGGCAGACACGGTTATTTAGCAATGCTAGCATCTGTTCACAGCTGTTTGAACATCAGCAATGATCTTTGAAAGGATTTTTTAGCGTTTAGGAGTTACACTAGAATTATCATCCTGGGAGCTGTGACTGCTGAATGCTAACGTAAATGTTGCGTATCTTTGAAAAATCCCTGAAACAAATGATTGTGAGACAGAAACAGTGAGCTGTTGGCTCCCTGTGCACTTGGCGTTGTGAGTTGTTGAGGCTCATCTGTGGAAATGTGAGCAAACAGTGAAATGTGACACTTGGGAGCAAAATGAACAGGAGTGTATCTGGGCTAAAGAATGCACACAGTCCATTCCACAGCTCGAGCTGCAGAAACCCAACCTAAAGGGCTTACATTTCTAAGCATGCATCCTTCGACTTGCTTTAGTGAAAACATTTAACTAAACAGGATTTTATTTCTGCCATGCTGGTGAAGAGGGGGCTCTGAGAAGATTTGGTTTTCAAAATGAAACTAGGCAGTTTTGGCTTGCTTTTAGCACCCTCTAGTGTCTGTTTAGTAGAACCAAAAGCAAAACTCTCCTTCTTGCTGCGTGTTCGTCTTTTTAACACTTTGTCTCCCCAGCCTTCCTTAGTGTCTACACGAGTGATTCATCACTAAAATAAGCCAATCAGCTTCATGATCTAAAACATGCAGGAAACGTGCTGGAAGCAGACCGCAGCACCAGGTGCATCCGCTCAATTTTCTTCTAAGTCCAACAGAATGGACCGGCACTCTGAAATTGCAAATGCGTTATTCTGGCCACAGAGGGCGGTGAGGGTCTGAGTGACATTTCATTAACCCTCACATATTGGCTCAACAAAATGATTTAAAAATGTGAAAAATTTGAATAGTATCTCTTTAAATCTAAAACACTGCTACTGGAAGTTGACACCACTGCAGCAGGTAAAGCATGACTTGTTAAATAGGTTTAGTTTGTCTTTGTGAGAAAATATTACCTTTTTTATTCTTTTAGTAAGACAAATGTGATTTTTAACAATGTTTTTTAATGCCTGCTGACAGTTTTGACTTGACGCTTCAGTCTTTCTCAGAGCATCATCTGACTTAGTGCTGTTGCTGTTGTCAGCAGATATGACAACACATCCTTAAAAATGATGTTTGGCTTGCTAAAAGAAAAAAGTTATATTAGAAGGAATTAGTCATGCGAGAATAAAAGGGGAGTGAGATAAAATACTGGGTTGAACAATGAACAAAAATAAGAAAACTGAATGTAAAAATACATTATAGGAATACAAAATACTTTATAAGTTAAAATTATATAAATACACATCATTTTGAGCTATAAAACCAAAGTATTGCACAAAGATGGGGAGTAACACAGTCTGAATTTTAAAAACGTCGCACACTCTCAAATGAAAAGGTTGAGGAGCTATCGGCCTCCTGTGTGGAAAACAAGTCTCTCCAAAGTCATCAGAAATTAGAGGAACTCTTATTTACTCTTAAATATGTCAAAAAAAATCACTGATACACATTTAAAGTGATGATTAAGTATTAATAATAAAAGTGAAGCAAACTTCACTCAGAAGAAAGGAGACCAGATAGTGTGTTTATTTAAAATTTTCTCACTGTTTTACTGTTGAACTTGTTGAGGAAGTGTATGAAGTGAAATCAAGCATGATGTCCCCATTTCTCGAAGCAGGTGGCTAATGAATGAGCGCGGCGTCCGACGGACACAACCCCCAGCTGTGTCCTCTTTGCTGATTGGAAGACATTAAGTCAGAAATAATGATGACCCGCAGCTCACTGTGTGTTTGTGTTTGACACTATTGATAATGATCTGGCTACTTTACATGGCCTCGGGTCTTTTTCTTTCTTTTTATTAAGGTTGTGAATAAACGGCAGCTGGCCTTGTACATCTTCTGCTGTCAGCTAAGTTTTGATGATCCAAAGCTCAGTTTAATCAATTTCTCTAACAAAATCAGAGATAATCTTATTTATTTATTTATTTATTTATTTTGGTGTTTACATCTGCCTCAGTAATATCAGCCCTAACGTATTTACCCACACAAAGTTTTCTAATATTTATCTGTCAATACCACACAGCCACCATCCGAGGCTCGGGCGATTGATGCAGAAACAGAAGCTGCCGAGCTGTTATTTCTCTCTCAAATTAATATTGACACATTCACAACAAACTTCAGAAGCTTTTCTCACAGCATCAAAGCCATGTCTTCTCTGTAAGACAAAAGTGATGTCATTAATTAGCGACACGTTTGATGTCGGATTGCTTTTGTTTCGTGTTACGCGGTCAGTGCTCTAAATCTCCTCTCTTAAAGGCTTCCTCCTCTCTTCTTTCCTGTCCCACGTTTAAACGCTGAAGCCATTTGTCACCTTTCTCCAGCTCTCCTCTTGCTCTCCGTGCATTTCACAGCCACCTGCTCTTCGTAATAATCCGCCACACTTGGCTGTTGTGTTAATTGTGCTCTCAATATATTCCCCTTCCACGGATACCCCATCACAGCTGGATGGCTTTGTCCCTTTCACAAACACTCCCCCCGCTCTTTGCTGCCCCCTGCGTGCGCCACAGTCAGGTATCCCACTTACACCTGCCAGGCGTGAATCATCCTGATGCAGGGCCAGGAAAATGGGCCCTTCTGTCGGCCTGCCTCACGGTCGGCAGAGATAAGCCAGCGACTTGCCACGGGGATAAAGTTGTCTTCGCCCTGCAGGGAACTCAATAGGGGTGAGCTGCATCTAAATACCCAGCGGCTGCAAGTTGGCTAATATTCATTAGTGGCATAATCTTAGCATCTTGACACTGCCAGCTGCAGTTAAATGTAGCTCTAACGACGATTCCCACTTGTGGGTGTTTGGAATGGAAAAAAGGTCAGCTGTCAGCATATGTGTAACATGCTGGCTGTTATTTATAGGGATACGTGCTCAGGAGCAATGTAACTGGCTTCAGCTCTTGCAGATGGTAACAAGTGGATCAAACTCAGGCTTTCTTTAGCTGTTTGAACACCGTGAAACACGCAGATGTTTAAAGTGAAGGTCAGAAATGGGACCTTGGGATGCAGATTTTACTGACCGTAACTCGGCTATGAGCAGCTTGGGCTGAATAATTACAAACAGATGTGGGTAAATAGAGGCTCAAACGCTAGAAACAAACTTCAAGGTAACCTAACTGCACATCGTCATGCAAGTGTCTAAATGTCACTTTTACAGTTGCAAGATTTTGACTTCTAGAGAGGAAGTTTTGTAAAGCAGTCAAATTAAAGGTACTGTGGTATTTAATGTGAGAGGACAGGGGTTTAAAAAAGTGTAAAGCTTGTAGTTTGGTTTGTTTTTGTCTTTTTCATTTAAATTTTTATCCTACTGCTCAAAGGCAAAAGGCAGGTCGGGACATCCTTGGCAAATATTTTGGTAATAATGTACAAGATTGTGTTTCTTCTGTGTTTATTGCTTTAGATCTTTTATGAGATGTTTTTATGGCAAACTGAACTATCATTGCAAACATATCTTGTGTTTCAAAGACTTTTAATGACATTTGTGTTATGTTTATGCCGAGTCAGCGTTTGCACTGTTGGTCATTCCTTTTTAAGACATCTGTTAGTAACCCTGGGGGTGTCATCCATCTTCTTGTTCATACCCTGACTGGAGGAGCCCCTTCCTTCACAATCAGTGCTTGATGTTTGTCCGAATCTATGGGATTTCCTTTGTCCAGCTGTCCTCTGAGGATTGATCATACATATGGTCTGAGGAATTTTCTAGATGGACCCAAAATGTTGGCATTTTGTTCCCAAGTTCACTTGGTCATGACTCCATTCTTATGGTGCACTGGAAACGACACTGTTGATCAATAAACTGTACAAGGAGTTCCTCTTGGAGGATGTTTAGGTATCATTCTTCATTTATTGCTGTATAAAACTTTTTTAAAATTTGACTCAAACAGCTTTAACGCCACCACTTTGTACGCATTTTGAGATTATCTTTGTTTAAAACTCATAAAAGTAGAAGGTGAATTTGCATTCCTTCAAGAAATATAGACCTTTGTTTTGTTTTTGTTTTGTTTTTGTTTTTTGGGGGGGGGGTAGCAATCCAGTCCCAGCGAACATGTACACAAGTTTGATAGCTTATCTGATCTTATCAGGAAATGTTCTCATTGAGGGTGAGTTTTTGTTTGCTGTCAGGTTTTATCTAGTTTTCTGCAGGCCGGCCCATCCTTTCCTCCCTCGACTATAAATGCAACCACTAACGGGCGTTGGGATGACTCCCTGCTGTCACGTTTGATATTTGCTCTCCACATGGGACCTGATTGTCACAACAATGTTGATGAAAGTTGGTCAGCTGCAGGGTGCGTGCTTTTTAAAGGATTATCGTCACGTGTCATTTACAGATAGCATGCAACGACAATAAGGTCTTTTCCAGGCACATGTTTTTTTAAGTGTTTGTGCACATATAACCATGGTAGTGGGCGCAGCTTGAAGGGAAATATGGCCACTTTTTTTTTTGTTGGATACGCCTTGTTGTGACCCAGCTGATGCACATTTGTTTGTGATTTATTAGCATTTAGAGGACATATATTTTTTCAGTTTTTTGATTTCGAACAACAACTGGACAGATTAGAATATGACATTTACATGTTTATTTTATGTGGAGGAAAAAGCAGTGTCCATTTTTGTTTTGTATTTTGATTTATATAATCAAAGTGCTAACCCACGTAAGTGCTCCAGCGACTCTTACATGATGCCCACTTTACAAAAATGGCAGGGTTAACGTTCGAGCACTCGAGTACTTCATTTACTTCATAAAATGCAGCAAGATCTGCATTTAGAAAGAGAAGTGCATGCACTCAG